ATTTCGGTTATTCAAATATGTTTCTTCAGAATTTTCAATATGCTCATAGTTCATTCGCATTAATAGCTGCATCATGTGATTCGAAGGAAAACCACTATGATTTTTGTTTATCAGCAAATATTTAAAAGTAGCATTTTATGCCCGTTAGTCATCAAATATAATCGCCAATTACTCATTGTAAATCATTACTAATTTATAAAATATTATAAACTAAACTTTAAAAATCCCCCAGAATTGCTGAATTTTTCACGCTTTAATTCGAGCAACAAGCGATCTTCATCTCTAATATACAATCAACAAATATAATTTAGCCTCAAAACAGAATCAAAACAAAACGAATGAATGTCAGCTGATCAAACCACATAAAAAGGGGATAACAGACCTACAGAAAAACCTTGGCGCGTGACAATTGAGTGCAAACTTTTTATTTTGCCAAATCGAAAACATTTGAGTTCATCACATGTGTGATGAGAATATCGCCATAGTCGAACGTGATCAAGTCGGTTCGTTTCAATTTTTTTCATTTTATGAATCATATTTTGTTGACAGTTTTTCTTATCAATCACAGTATGTACAGTATCACATGCTGAATTCGTAATTTTTTTCATGAGTCGTGTGAGTTGGGGGAATATACGACAAAATTCATCTCTTCGTGCTATTGCAATTTATTAAGGACAGAGGATGTGACTATGATAAGAACTACAGCGGAATCACTATTGAGAAATCTATTATCGACAGCTCATACAATTATTACAATGCATTTATTAAACATACCATCTCTTTCGCTTTTGTCAATAATCTAGCCATTTGTTGCTTTTGATTAATTAAAAACTAAAAATCTAACGTTTACAATTATTAAAACTAAAGCTAAGTACGCAGTTCCTTGTGAAATGAAAAAATTTCTCCGGTGAAATCTTCACAGGTGATATTTGTATGGTATGTTTTTATTTTCGAATTGCAAGCATAATGATTTTTGATGTATGAAACAGTTAACTCCTTCCAATATCAACACGACATATGAACAAATTCAGTTTTTGAGTTCATTCTTCTATGTGTTTTGTCTGAACAAATTTTTTTCACGGTCGTGAAAAATATTCCGCGTGCAAAATGTACGCGAAATTTTTTTCACGGCCGTAAAAAAATAAGAAAGATCAAAATACATTAAAGAAAGAATTCAAAATTCAAATTTGTTCATGTGGTGTGTTGATATTGGGGGGAGTTAACTGTTTCATACATTAAAAATCATTATGCCTGCAATTCGAAAATAAAAAACACCATACAGATATAACCTGTGAACATTTCACCGGAGAAATTTTTTCATTTCACGAGGAACTGTGTACTTAGCTTAAGTTAGGACATATACAAAGCACAATTTAGCTAGCAATCTCTGATTGTAAATAATTTTCACTTGTAAAAGATGTGTTATGGTTCCTCCACCGGAAAAATGAAAATATAGCATTCGTTTATACACGTTTTTTTTATTTGATAGAAATATTTTATCTACTTCCTAATAAAAAGAAATTCCAAGATATCGAGACGCCACATAGATGAAACTCATTTCTTATCATCACGTATTCATTCCATGAGTAGCATGTTTGAAATTTATGCATCAGAATTCTAAACAGCGGAATGACCACATGTTGATAAGAGTTGTAATTTTTAATTCGTTGTGTGTCACGGGACAATACGAAAAATGTAATCAACTGTGCGAGTCTTTCATATGAGTTTTCGAGTCAAAGTTTATCCAAAAAAAAATCGACTCACGTTGATTCGTAGATTTTATGAATACTCTGTACTTTCTGTGGTAAGAATCGCAAGTTAATTTGTATGAATCTGTGTGAATGAAGTGTACTGACTTGCGATGACTAGCAAGCTCGAACCATTTTATCGTTGCGAAGACTTTATTTGGCCTTTTTGATAAGTATTTTTCTAATTTTGAATGATTGAACATTGCTCACAACATCGTGATGTTGAACAATGTCGGAAAATTCGCACTGAGAACAAAAGTCTCAATAGAAAATGTTTATAGGTTGATATAACAAGTGAATAAATTTGATGGAATGAAAAATGAAGAAAAAAAATCAACAATAATTTTAAATTAGATAAAGTTGTTATTTTTCGATTATAAACGAACGAAGTTTAACGACCGAATCTGAATTTCCTTAGTTCGATCGCAGATAAAAATTATAGCAAATCCGTTAAATGTGGCCAAATCTCTCTTCAGCTCACTTCCTTTTTATGAGGGCCTTTCAAAATAATCAATTCAAAACAATAGACTCTAATGTTAGAATATACTCAGGGTGGAGCCCCTTGGTGTGTGACTAAAATCTTATAATTTATATTTCAGTCAACGCTTGATGTCACGTTCATGTTTGACTACGAATAGATCAGCAAATTGAATGATCAGCAATTGAATGCAGTCAACGCTCGACATTTGGGACATTTTAAATCAGAAGAATTAGCTAAAATGAATATTTGAATTGAGTTATTCACTTATACTTATTTTCTTCACATTTTTTCTCTCTCCGCGAACCATCGAATATATTTCAATCGACTTCAACAAAACACAATACTCTTCAAAAATTTGGAACCATTAATCAAAATTGATCAATTGACAGTAGATAAGATTAAAAATCAATCAGACATTAGGCGAACATACCAATTAAAAAAGGAAATAACGAATTTACTTTATATTACACCATATCTATGTGGTTGTGACTATTTCACTATAAAGGCGCTAGGGAAAAATATGCGAAAGCAGTGAAAAGTATGCAAAAAATGTCCCATGACAAAGTGGTTGATTCGTTTTCAAATGGTGTTTCCGTGCGACATAAAATTACGCAGCAAAAAGCATGAAAATTTCTTCCATTCGACAATTAAATGAATTCGAATAAATCTAGCACATAATCAATTTCTTTGCATTGAATCTAAATCACAGGGGAAAAAACATATTTCATTAAAACAACGTTGTTATCTTTGTGTTGAAAATCTGTGTGGTTAGTCATAGTACTTATTGGAAGTGGAAAGTAATCACACATCGTACAAATTGATAAAAACCGTATTACATTCGTTCATGGAGTTTAGTGCGATTCAGAGTTGACACGATGCATATCAAAGTGAAATTTTTGTGGCGCCGACTGCGGTTAAAGTCAGAAAAATCAAAAGATCCAACACAGCCAAAACAAAAGCCATCCAAATCGGAGTCAAATAAAAAGAAGAAAAAGCCAAAAAAGCGTAAATTTTATGATAGTTCACGGGAAAAGGCGAGAAAACTGTTTAAATTATACAAAAAAGAACCGTATATTTTTAAACTAAACACTGACTGTGTTGATGAAATTTGTGAATTTTTGACACTTAAAGATTTGAAGGCATTAGCTGAAACGTGCCGTGCGATGAAATTAATCGTTGGTGAATATTTTGAACGGAACTACGCCGCAGCTAGTGTAATATGCAAGAAAAATTGTTTAATCGCTTACAATACAAACTGCGGAAAAATTGATGTATTCAGTCAATTTGTGGAAAAAGTGTTAATTTTATACGATGAACCCAATGGTGACCAACGCTTCCAATACATCGCCGCAAATTGTAACTCAATTAAGCAGCTTCAGTTGAAATTTGTTACACTAAACGACGAAAAAATCCAATGTCTCAGAGAAACAATGAGTAAAATTCAAGTGTTGCGAGTGGTTCGGCCGCGTGTATACGGGGACTTTTATGACAAAGTCTTGAAATATGGCGAAAATATGCAGATGTTAAGTGTACGATCGGCTGATCGAATTTTGGTGGGCAGTAGCAACGAATGGCTTCTCAGATCGTATCCAACGCTTAAGCATTTCGAAATGAGCCAAGTGAGTGGAAGTCGAATCGGTGAACTGAGAATGTTCCTAGAATTCAATCCACAACTCCACAGTATAGGCGTCAATTCAAGTTTAATGTGGGAAAATCGGCAAATATTTCTTGATTCCAACATAAAACTTCAATATTTTTCGATGGTCGTAAATTATGTACCGACACGTGACTTTCCAGCCTATTACCGATACTTAAATCAATTGCAAAAGAAAGGATTTTACAAAAATTTACACTTATACATCTTTAAATTTGATAAGGAATCCATTCGACAAATGGCATCATTACAATCATTCGTTAAATTACATTCAGTAGAAGCTATTTTGGACAAAACACTCATACCATCACTGATTGGCCTCAAGGAATTGAGCATGGACACCAGCGATAATCTTAAAGACATTGAAGTATTGGCCAAATGTCTTGTGAGTCTCGAACGAATTTATTTTTATAACTCGACTTTTGAGCATATGCTGCTGTTTTTTCGATATTCAAAAAATTTGAGAAAAATCGAAATTCGACGTTTAATGATTCCAAACGAAAGGGAATACAATAAAGGCGTACTCAATTTAGAAATGCTGCATAAGGAACGATCAAAACTGAGGTTTGCGGAAAAAACTACGATTTATTTGAAAGAAGCTTTATTTATGAGAACCAAATGGGCAACGAGCATTATCGATTTTCCTACACTCGATATGAAACTAGCCGAATCACATGAGTGGAACCATAATTTTCTAAATTAAATGCCAAATACTTTGTTCATGTTTTGTTTTAATGTTGTTTAATGATAACATCTGATTTTGATTGAGAAAAATTGAAAGTAATGCTATTTAATGTGTCATGATTGAGGCGTGACGAATCACTTTGATTATAATACAAATAATAAATGAATGAATCACTGACATTTTAACTGGGATTTACATTTTTTTGTTGTCGATTTTGTTCAAAGAATTTAATCAAATTTCTTTAAACGGATCAGAAAGAAAAGGTAAAATTGTTCATTTTTATAGCCTAGAATATTGTTGCCAAACAAAAATATACATTTAAAATGTAACATTTTTATGTAATTGTGTGATCATATTTGCTCAAGTATTTTGATTCAAGAAGCTGTTTCAATTTATGAATTAGTTTTCGGAATTGGTATGAAATGTTGAGATTTAGGGTAATGTCCTTGTTTTCTTCAGCAATTCTTGTTGTTGTGGATATTCATGTGTCTCTTGAGGCTCGGTTTCTGTGTAAATTTTTTCTGGCACAGTTGGCACTGGAACGGCTCGTGGCCTGAACGGGTTCGCATATGCTTTTCCATGGACGTTTTGCTTCGAGAATCCGTGGCGACAAATCAAACATTTGAACGGTAACTTCTTCGAATGCGATTTCATATGAAAATCGAGACTGGATTTCTGTTTGAATTGTTTCGAACAATGTGGACATTTGAACGGGGTTTCGCTAGAGTGGGTGCGTATGTGACGAATCAACTTAGATTTGTGTGAACCAAATGACTTGCCACAAACGTAACATTCGAAGGTAGAGCGATTGCACTTCGCTTCGTGTGCATTTCTTTCGTCTTGCTGGAAGAATCCCATGCGACAATTTGAGCAACGGAATGAACGTGGCCCAGTATGAATTTTCAGATGTTTGCCCAGACTACTTTTTTCTGTAAACCGTTTGAAGTATTTCTTGCATTCGAATGGTCTGCTACCGCTGTGGACCTGGACACACATGTGTTTCACCATATTTCCTTTAAGTGATCCAAACGATTTCTTGCACAAATGGCATTCATAGCAGCGAGCTTTGCAATTGACTTCTTGTGCCTTCCTCTCGTCTTTCCCATTGAATCCTTGCAAACAGCCCGGGAAAAAAAACAAAAATTCATCCACATGAGCTTTCATGTGGCTAGAGAAACCTTCTTTCAATATGAATCGTTTCAGGCACAAATTGCATCCGTGTGGCTTCTGGCCGGTGTGCCTTAGCAAATGTCGCTTTAAGCTAGACGCATACTGAATTGAAAATTCGCAAGCGTCACACTTGTGTGCACTGTCGCCTTGTCTTAGTATGTTGCGTAGGCCAATATCTGGAACCACTTCATCATGCGATGGATGATCTGGTTGATTTTCCGCCGCTCCTTTTCCGTTTTCAGCCTGTCTTTTCGGTTCTCTTTCTTTCTCGTCCTTGAATTCTGTCTTCGTCTCGATCTTCACTTCGTTCAGACTTAAGAAATCGAAGTCACCATCATGGCCATTTAAGTCAGGCGTCTGAATAGAGCGATAAGTTGATGCCGGTATATCAACCAATTCGCTGACGGACAGTGGCTCATGCTTGATGTCACGTTCTTGTTTGACTACGAATAGATCAGCAAATTGAATGTTGCTTTGCATTGAAGATGTCATCTGGGCATTAGATTCTAGTGGAACACTGGTGCGTTGATCTTCATCAATCGGTGGAAACTCTGATCGCCTAGGAATCAATCGGAATCGATAAATAAAAATCGATATTTTAATCTAACCAATGAATGTGTTTGAGGTTAGGTTTGCCTTTGGATGTGAACCACTTACGAAAATTCTCCCCAAATATTCACTACTTCCATTTTAATCGAAACTAAAGTATTCTCGGCTAAAGTATCGCAATGAACGAATCAAATAATTCGAATTGGCAATGAATCCAATCAGAATTTACTTTTTTTCTTGTTCGTGGCTGACAGTCGCGTGAGTCATCAAATTGTACTTACTTCTTTTTATTCTCCATCAATTTGTAGTAGATGTTGTGAAAAATGTAATAAATTCTCAAAAATATGAACAAATAATAATTGCGCCGAAGAATATTGTTATTGGTTGGCTTGAGAACGAAAAGTGGTTGTGTCAGCAGCAACAATGATGTTGTGGAACGTGTTTCACGCCTCGAATCTCACCAACGAAAAGGATGTGCGTTCACACTGAGAGTGACAAGCGGTGATGCTCTCTGTATACGTTTTTTTATTGTGTTAGTGTCAATTACGTCTCTAAACACATCATATCAAGTCTTTCTGTGTGACTAATGACAGATGCATAATTTGGGTTTGAAATGCTCGTGAATAAAAAACATTGCGGATTGATTCAATTTGTTCATGAAATGCATGATCATTTGGTCTTTAATTTCAGGTAAATTACATTTTTTTCTGAGGTAAAAAATAGAGTATGAAGTGTTCATAAACCAAATGATTGATTGATATCAAATACTAAAAAAATATGCAAAAAAATGAACAGAATATTTTCAACGCTTGGTTCAACTTCATGCGGTCGACATATTTCCTCGGCCAACATTGGCATTGCATTCTTCATTAACATCGCTTGAACCGACTTCCTTCGAAATTGCGAATGCACCAACATTTGGCGTGACTAGAGCAATGTTTTGCTGCTGAATCGGCTTTTGCACACGTGAGATGCTCAATTGTGCATTCTGCAATAATGCCATAGCTGGTGAGGTCGACTTCGGTGCCACTGTTTGACAGGGAAACATTTTGAAAAAAGGAAGAATATTTTTTTAAAAAGTCAACTTTGAAATTTCTTTAATATTTTTTTTTCCTAAACGCTTGAAATATTGTTGAAGTAGGTCTTGAATTTCAAACATTTCAAATTGCAATGAATACTAATCCATGTCAAAAATGAACTTTAAAAAATATTTTTTCTGTTAAACATTTACCCTTTGTTTTTACAATCGACACTCCGCCGATGTGAGATGGCAGTCCATTGAATTGTGGCAATGCCGGCGAGCTTGAATTCACGACACTTCCATGCAATGGGCGTTCAATGTACCTGAAAAAGAGGATTAGATTAGGCTGAAAATTCAATATTGCGAATAAAAGGATTTAAAATTCGTTCCAATGAGTCGATTCTGAGCTTCGTTCTTTTCGTTTCTAAGCCTCTGATGACGAATTTGAAACGTAAATTTACGATTTGGTATCAAATCGAAAAATTCGATTCGAGAAATTTTCTTTATGACGCGTAGTTAAATTTTGTGAACAAGGGAAGTTAGATTCTGTCTAAATTGTTCTGCATTTCCAATAAATCAAATGGAACTTACATCGATTGTGCTCGTTGACGCATAGCCGGCTGGATCGATCGTGGCTGGTTCATGTTTGGTGCACGGTTGTTCACGTGTTGTGTTGGCATCTGAGGCTTTGGATTGAAACTCGGTTGAGTTTGCAATGGCAACTGTGGAGCTTGATCTTAGAAACGAATGATAAACCAATGATTTAGAAAATCAAATTAAATTCTCCGCAATTTTTGCTGAAGCACTAATGGAGTCTTCTCTTTCAGAAGTTAAAACTCTGATTTGCAATAGAACAACCTTGTAAATTACTCACCATTGTTTAGCGGTTTGGGTGCCTGTTGTTGATCTGGGTTTTGAACGACAACGTTTGTCACTTTCAAGAGCTGCAGCGCTTTGACAATGTGCGGTTTCACCTCAGCACCAACCATAATCTGGCCATTGTAGAACATGTCAATCACTTGTTTCAACACGAAACTCGACACCTCGGACAATGGGACTGTTGAACGAAACAGAAACACACATTCTTTAGTATACATTTTTGTTTTGAATCGATTCCGTTTGTTTGATTTGAAGCTGATTTCACCATTTATGCATACAAAATGAAATTGGTTGAAGTTTTAGTAACACAATCGAATATTTCAATTACTGAGGCTTATTGAGGATTTGAACTCTCTTTTAATAGTATAAATACTTTGGATACACTAAATTTCTTCGATATAAAGTACTCACCACAAGCCTTGCCTTTGGGTTTGAATTCGCGAATGTAGTCCTTGAGGTAGCCGGAGAACATGCAAACCACGTATTTGTGGGCGGAGATGACTTTTTGGTCGGTGGAAATCAAATCAATGTCAAACTTTGGACCTTTCACATAGATTTCGGCGAGGTGTTTGTTGCTGATGTCGCGAGAATCGCGATTCTTGAACTTGATGACAAGGCAATTCATGACGACGATGAATAATTGACGATTCGATGAAATGAAAATGAATTCACTCAGTGGCACAGAATGCGTGTGCCCAGATTTCCAGCAAGACTCCGAATGCTCAATGGCCAATGACAAATTTTGTTTTTGGAAAGGGTGGAAAAAAAATTGCCATACGAATTTTATCTAATTGAACATTTCTGTTTTCTGCGAAAACCACTTGCTATTGTCTCACACCGCACCACTCGAGTGACTGTGTCACTTTTCTTCAGAACAAGTTCTATTGACGTTCACCACGTACTGAAAGTTTTTTCATTCAATCGGGTGAAGCGATGTCATTGTGTGAAGTGGCGAATTCAGCGAATTCATCAAATGGTTTGGATCTTCGATCTGAAGAACGGATGACAACTGCTGTTTTAGTTGCAAATGGGCTTTGACATTTTTTGAATGATACGAAAGTACATGGTTCAACTCGAATATATCTCAAATGGAGGTTATATGCATTGCGTAGATATCTCATAGCGATTAATGACTTCGTGCTTGCAATGAGTTTCCAACACAGTTTACTTTTTCAATTTTCATTCAAGTTCTTCTATTTACATGGGAAATTTGTCTGCAAACGGTGGAACTCACATTTTAATTGTATTCAACTCTCCGGCGAATGCACGAGCCTATATTCGTGGTCTGCAAAAATCTTATTATCAGAATGAAGTGATTGAATAATTCGTATGAACGAAGGGACTTTTTATTTCGTTTGTCCAAAAAATGATATTCATGTGAGTTATCAAAATGTACTCACTTCTTTCCATTGCCCATTTCTTTGCATCGACTTTATGCTTCCAATCGCCTTCCGATGGTTTTCTACTTTTTAAATGATTACTTGCGTTAATTGATGTGAATAATTCAATAAAATCTCGTAAATAAAATCAATTCCGTGATTGTATCGAATTGAAACGTTCTTTGGTTTGTGAATGAAAAATTACTGTATTAGCAGCAGCGATGCGGCAAAACGTGTTTTCGCTTGATTGTCACTGACGAGAAGAATATGTTTCCTTACTGTTAGCGACAAGTCTGTGAATTGTGATTGTGTGAGTGTAAATTGATTCGACTTTGTTTCACACACTAATCCAATCTTTGCAATTCATGACAGATGAAGGACTTTGATTTGATTCAGATGTCACTAGAGTCGGGAACGAAGCTATTCAAATGTACATTCCCATCCATTTTGAACAGCTCCGTATTTCGTTATTATTCATCTTTTGGTTTCATCTACTCGGCGATAGCCTTCCAGAGTCACTTGGATTGAATCAAAAATTCATTCTTTCGATGGTTTCCATGGCTCTTAAAATGATCAAAACGACGTATACTACATGGGCTGAAAAGTCTTTGGCCTAACAATGAAAAAATGATTTTTTTAGTGAAAAAACTGTTTTATTCTTCGACATAATCTCCATCTAGAGTAATGCACTTAGTGTAATGGTCCTCCAACATTTCGGTGCCTATAGTAAATTAGAGACTTCGATTAATTGTGAAAATAATCAATAAATACATAATTTGATGTGCACCTCTTCGAAAGATCAAATTTAGCAAAATTGTTTGAAATCTAAATCAAAACTATGAAGAAGATTTCCACACATTTTATTGGCATTACCAAGCAAATGTACATGAAGTAGAAACAAAAATCCTGATATATTATTTTTCGTTCCACGATTTATTTTTTTCACCTAAAATTTAAACAATATACATATATATTAAAATTATATATAAATATAATTGTGCAGTAGATATGATGACGATGAGATCATGGTTCAATTTTAAGTCGTATCTCATAATACTTCACTATTTTTATTCCCGAATTGAAAAAGAAAAATTAAACCCGATTCCTGAACATTACAAATTGCACAAACCAAATAGGATTTCTTGACAATTGCGATTGATTTAAATGAACACCTTAAACGTTTATGGAAATATACTGCTTGAATAAACCGGTGTTTATTTATTTATTCAAATAGTAATAATAATAATTATATAGATTTAAATGAAGAGAAACAAACACCTTGGACTTCGTACAGTGATGATTTCTGATTCGCGACGACAAATAAGCCCCTCGAGATTATTTAACTCACCGGTAGTTGTTCGTTTCCCACAGGTTGGCTCACATGATCGTTAAGTTGTGGCGGCTGTGTGTGATAATCACATTCGATGATTGGAATAAAGAAATTCAATTCAAACGTCAATTGATTGGAACGAGTTTAGATAGACGTGACAAGATGACAAATAATTATTATAATAAGAGCGATAATGTTATTCAAAACTGGCAGCTTGTGAGTAAATAACATAAGCGCAGTTTAGCATACATATTTACATTTTTTTGCGGCATTTGGCATAGCGCGCGTTTACATCAAATTTATTACCGTCTAGCCGAGTATAAACTGGTTTCGTAATTAATAAACTACGTGTGCGTTGGAGATATTGTGCAGTATCGTTTGTTCGAAAACTTCACATATGCAGTTGTTCTACAGCAGAACAGAAGTGCATCAGATGTTTGACAAGCAATATTACCGTTGCTCTAGTTCAAGTTTAGGAAATCATTTCAATTACATAGTGTGAAAATGTAACGATACGTTTATTTGAGTTAATTTCTTTCCTCTTGTGTGTTGTTCAGTGTATTTTTTTATCATCTTAATTCATCAATTGGCAGTGTTGAGCACGGACGAAATATTTTGGATAAAAAGTTTTTTTTTTCAGAGCTAAATATTCAAACATCTAACGGCCATTGAATTCATTTCATATGTTGAATGACTGTGTGAATGTTAGAAATTAAATAATTTTGACCGCTTTATGCGTAATATTATATCAATAATATCACACCACATCAGACAATGCATATGCAATACCTACAAGCAAAACTGTTTGTATTCCGCACGTTTTAACGAGTCAAAGTCAAAGAAGAAAAAACCGTTCAGTAAGCACGCAGTGGAGCATAATTGAAATCAGAACATCATCATCGTATACATTTTTGAAGATGCACCCATTAAATATGTAAAGATTGGCTTCGATTCAAAGCCCAACAAAAACAAAATATAAGCGCACACATGCAGCTCACAGTGTGTAGACTCATTCTCACTACACAGTTTTTACTTCTAGCATTTGTTGTGTACTGTCTACAAATATTAATACCAGCGTCGATATTTCCGTCATTCACTTTTAGCAGAATTATTGTGTGTTGCGTTTGTAGTGATGTGGGCTTTTCAGCGTTGAAGGACAGTTGAATTTTTAATTTTCTAACGAGATTGCAAATGAAACGACCATAATAAATATCCGATATTACATGTTGAGCTATGGTTCGGAGTTGAATCTGAAGCAAAATGCGAGAAAATGTGAATGATGCCCCCACAAATATGAATAACCTAGAGTTTAGCGAAGCATCTCCACATAATGATTACTTGGGAGGACAAAAACGTGGAAGTGAAAAAAGTGTATGAACTAAGAAGTATTTCGAATAACATTTGCGATAATGTTCTGGATTGATGTTTATAGGTTATTTGGACACTTCTGGACGAATACTTCTCAAGTGCGAGCATTAATGGTGTTCAATATTTTACTAAACGGCAACGTCATTGGAGCGAACGGTTTGTGTGAAATTTTAGTCGAATGCATCTAACATCCATTCAAGCCAATTTCCGAGCTGTTATAGGCACTGCAAAAGTGCGGGCACTTGAATCAGTGCTCTTTTTGAAAGTATAATTCTTGAGTATTTTTGAAATTTTTTCAAATTTGCTAGTTTTTTAAAGAAATAATATGATTTTATATTGCTGAAAAAAATATGAAATTATAAATTATCGAAATTTATTTTTTGTGATTGTACTAGGTGCGGCACTCAAAATCTAAGTGCCGGCACCGATTGGGTGCCTATAACAGCTCTGGCCAATTTCCAAATCCTCAAGTTTTAACAATTTCGTTCTGCGAATAGACTATTTTGGGTCATTGCGTTCATAATATCAATTTGTCTATCTGGATATTTAATATCGGATCCGTGGCGCAAATGGAGAGAAACTCCAGTGATTGTGAGTTTTGATGAAAAATCCACTCCAATATGGGACATACCATTTCCAACCGTAACCATTTGTCCAGTGAAAAAGTTCAATAAAACCAAACTAAAATACACCGAAGCATATCTCCAGCTCAGCAATTGGAAGAACTCAAGCTCATTGATTGGCAACTTATCTAATGATACGTAAGAATGATTCCCTGAAATTTTAATTCCTATTTTCTTCGACAGTTCGATTTATTTTTGTTTATACTTTATAGAATAACAAAAATGCGGGCTGCCGCACAAATATGTGAACCTTTTCGTTGGCATCGCTATGATTCTCAAAATTCAGCTAATATTTCCGTTGTCGACATCTTAAACGACATCTCTATAACTAGGGAAGAAACTATAATCTCATGCAGAAGGAGCCTTGAATATGGTTGTATGCGTTCCTTCAAACCAATTCTGACTGAGGAAGGTATTTGTTTCACGTTGAATTCTCTCAACTCCCGCGATATTTACACCGACGCGTTAGTTTCGATTCCCTTAATTTTGCTCCGTTTTATTTTTGCATGCCGATTGATTGATTGATAAACATTCTAATGCTTGAATTACAGAATCGATCCTGAAATGCTAACCGTTAAAGATAATCCAAATGCTACTCACTGGAATTTGGAACAAGGTTATACTGACCACGAAAATAGTCACAAAACATATCCATATCGAGTACCTGCCGCGGGAGTAAAAATTGGACTTAATATTGGGCTGCAAACTTTCAAGAAAAATTTTGATTACACCGTGGATCGGTTCAGGGATTTAAAATTGTTCTACACACTCCGGACGAGGTGCCTCAAGTATCGAAATATTTTTTTCGTGTGCCATTGGACCAGGAAGTCTTGGTATCAGTCCAACCACAAATGACCACCACAAAAGATCCTAATTTGAGCAAATACGAACCAAAAATAAGGTTTGTGTGGCCTTTTTAGTCGAATGGCATCCATTCAAGTCAAGTTCTTAATCCTCAAGATTTCACAATTTCGTTCCAGAGGATGCTTTTTTAATGCAGAGCGTTCATTGAAATTCTTTAAATCGTATACGCAGCGCAATTGCCAACTTGAATGCCTCGCCAATTTTACTCTCACAAAATGCGGTTGTGTTAAATTGGCAATGCCAAGTAATAATCAATAGATTGCCTAAAGATTTCCTTTGTTTTCCTTTTGAATTGAATTTTTCAATTATTTTGTTTTTGTTTCTTTGAAGGAGTGAAAGACACTCCGCTTTGTGGTGTCTTCCAACTCGTTTGCAGTGAATGGTCTGAATATATTATGCTAAGAAAAAATTTGAATGAAGGTTCAGAGAGGGAACACTTTAGCAATTTTTGCGATTGTCTGCCAGCCTGCACGTCGATCACCTACGATGCAGATATCTCCCAGGCAAAATTAGATCATGATAGAGAGCTCAAAGCCTATGGACTAAATATTAACTCTGATAATGATAAGTATGTTAGCCGAATTAATGGAAGAGTTGTCTGTATTGATTCTGATTGAACATTATATATTAGTTCTGATATACAGGTGTCTCAGTTATCAATCTTCTTCAAGGAGCATCAATTCACACCATCGAGGCGAACGGAGCTGTATGGCATA